TCTCTCCTCGGGTGCTCATCTAAAATTAAAGGTGAGCTTATTTTAGACCCTGTAGCCAAAAGTACAGGGTTCTATATTGAACTTGCATCTCCTTTTTACAAAACTAACTTTGACATTTTATTTATTTTTATACTCAAGCTCACATTAGTTGCATTTTGCCTATGTAACTTATTTTAAACATCGCCTTGCTTGTACTCCAGACTATAAGCTTAGCATTGTTCTTTGGCCAAAAGCAATAAAATGTGACCCATTTCACCATGATTCAGTGAGCTGCAATCAGCATTTCTTTACACAAATAAAACATTGATGGCTATTTTATAACATTTCCCTAACCTTCAGAAGTGTAATGAAGTTTTGCTTTGGTTTTTTACATCAAGTTCTATTTGTATTTAATGCCATGAGTACACTACATTAGTGGATTGTGCACTTAAGGCTAGATAATCAAATATTCCTAATAGGCTTTTTTCTAAAAAATCCTGTATTGAATTTACAGAGTAGCCCAAGGTTCTCAAGTATTCAACTATAAATAAGCATTGCTGAGTGTAAAAGCTCTCTTCCTATTATCATATTCCTATAATGACCAAAAATACCAGTTCATTGGTTTACCACATATTGAATTTCCTGACCATTTAGTACTTTTTTATTTTTAAAAAACTACATTTGTACTTTTCATCATTTCTTATGAAGAAATTACTGCCCTCACCCAAAGACTTCCTTAAATAGTCTCTATATAGATTCTTTGCTATAAGCCCAAGCTTCCTGAACATGATCTATTTTCAGATTGTCTCTGTTTTCATTTGTTTATGATTAGGCATTCTTGGCACTGGTCAAAAATCATTTGTTTTCATATATTTTGTGTCAAATCATCTCATGGCACTGTTACCGTATTTCTCTTGACTTTTCTAAGTTCTCAGGGTTGTCTAATTTGGCCTGATCATTTCCTCTCCTTCTTACAAAGTAAGCACCTACTTTTAGCCTTCTATACTTAAAGTATTTTTAAATTTTAATTGACATAGTTGTATATATTTATGGGATACATAGTGATAGATACAGATATAGATATAGATATAGATATAGATATAGATATAGATATAGATATAGATATAGATATCAGACCAGAACAATTAACGTCTGTCACCTCAAACATTAATTTTATCATTTCTTTGTATTGGGAACATGCACAACCCTGTCTACTAGCTATTTTGAAAAAGGCAGTGAGTTGTTGTCAGTTCCCCACCATGCTCAAGGACACTGGAACTTATTTCTGCTGTCCGGTTACCCGTGGCCTCGCTGCCCACCCAGGCCTCACCCCTTCCTGCTTTGGTACTGTCTATTCCTCTAAGATCTGCACTTTCAGCTTCAGCAAAGATATGAGCACCTGTAGTTTCTGTCTTTCTATGCCTGCATATTTAATTTCATTTCTGACTTTTCATTAAAAATAGTACTTGTGGTTTGTAGATCTTTTAAAAAATTACGGTAGGTCATAGTTTCAGTTTTAGGTTATTGAGAGAGCGTCAGATAGAGGTTTTGAGTTTATTGTGTGGTGTATCATATAGCAGTTTCAAAGACATGAGTGTGTGTAAATCTCTTGTGATCAATGGATGGGGTGTAGTTGTTCTCGAGTAATGTGTCCTACAGTAGAAAATGGATTTTCTAAGCCCTGTCCTGCTAGACTTACATCTTAGCCAAATCAGGCCACCTTCTTTCTTCTTCTCATTTCTTTGTGCCTTATCTGGTTTGGTTATCAGATTTCTAGTAGTCTCATCAAACCAACTAGATAGCTTTATGTTTTTCTACATCCTACAAGCTTTCTGTATAGTTAGAGAATTACCTAATCCTTGAAGTAACTACGATACTAGTTTTTCAACCTTTATATTTTGGGTTCAACTTTTGATCGTTAAGTTTTACGTTAGAAAACTGTTTCCACTGTGATGTTCAAATTTATTCCCAAAGATATTTTATATAGTAGTCTTAACTTTTCACTCTTTTCCATTTTTGTGATACATTCCTTGAATAATTACATGGGATGTTGTGTTTTAAAACCAGATTTTTCAGAAATTGTCTATTCGGTATCTCAGTTTACAATGAATCAGATTTTGTTTTTTAAATATTGAAATCATGCATTTCTGCTTTTATTTCCATTTCTGCATTTCTAATATAGTTATCATTGTTTTCTAACTTAACTGAAGTTAGTTTATTTCTTTGATCTCTTCAATTTAAAAAAACCTAGATTGTTAGTGTTATAAATGAAACAGCTTTTCTTTTTTACTGTCCCAAAATGCAACGAGATTAGGTCACTTCTACTCTCTATTCCTATTTATTCCTCCATTTTTAATAATAAGTAAAATTTCACGTGTGGTTGGACCTAAATATCATAGTAAATTTTTATTAGCTTTTTATATTAATTTTATTGAGAAAGAAGTAGCAACGAGATAGTTTCAAATCAGGTTAGTAGGACAGTTACAATAATTAATATATTGCATATTGTTGTCTTCATAGTAGTTATTCATAGTACAAGGTGCAGACATGATATCTTGCTAAACACTTAGTTCAAAACTGTCTTCTCATTGAATTAAGAGAAAGTAGCTGTATATCTATGCTAACTATTTTGTATATACAGATATATATATTTTTTCACTACAAAATGGTCCTTCATTTATATCCCCCATTTTTGTTTACTTTTGTCAGAGATGGATATTCCATTGCCATTCATATATTGTAGGTGCATGAATTCAGCAAAGTAATCCAATATAGTCAAGTAGTCTGTAATAGTAGTGGGTTATCTGCATGACTGGCAATGTCCGAAGTTGTTGACTTGAGCCTTTTACAGCTCAGCATTTTATTAGATTTTAATTGAAAGCCTATACTCTCTTTGGACAGTTTTTTATAATAATTAAAAAACTATATCATCTTTGTCCCTTGTTCCCCATTTTCAATATTATTCTGTAACTATTCTTTTACCCTTATCTTTTTGATGAACCTTCAGTCAACTGAAATGCTTATGAGTAATTTCATTAAAGATACAAACCTGATGAATTTCTAGCACATTTGTTTTTCTCTTAAAACTCTGAAAAAATTGAAATGCCTGTGATTCTACTTTTTCTAAAATAGTGAAAAGAAAAACTGTGACCCCCAAGTCTTCACAGATGTAAGAACCCCCAAACCCTACCATTGCCCCATGAGCTACTTTTTCTGTCTTTCAAAGACCAAACACGGAAGCCAAGGGGAAACTAGAAGCAGTCACAGAGAAGAACCAAGGGACAGAGAGGCCCCATCCTGTGGGTGACTGGTGTTTGGGAGACAGAAATTCTGTGACAGGGTCTGAAAATCATCACTCTGCTCCCCCTACCCCTCTTGAGGGCCATGGGCTCATTTCCCTTCATGCTAACTTCAGGAAAGTCCTTGGGCATCATTGTTTTCAGAGCTGTTGAAAGTTCAAGTTCTTTTAGTTTTCTAAGTATTTCAAGGGAAAGGAAAAATCAAAGATGATTGGATATCAGTAACCTTGTAATGCCACATCCTGTAAATCTTTTGTTTTTCCTCATTCTTTTTTTTATGATTAAGTCTATTATGGACAAGCAATGGTATTTCCCTGGGAAAATTCTGTTTTTTTTTTTTTTGTTGTTGTTGTTGCCTAAAATTAGCCGTAACATCTCATCCATGATCTGTTCTAATACTTCTTTTTTAAAAACCTAATATTTAAATAAAGCTATTTGTGTTTTTCTATTTCTACTGCAGGTGAAGACTGATGTTGGAAGCTGGAAGTGAAGACATTGGAAAGGTGAGCTTCAACTCTATGTGAGCCATCTACATTTTTTATTTTTTACTACTTGAGTATGAATTTTTTAAAGGTTATTATGCCTATAGTTTAGGTTTGTTGGCTATTTATTGTGTACCTGCAGGTCAAATTCTTCTGTTTTCCAATTTTTAAAAACAGAAACTCTTTTGGAAGATGAGATGCCAAATATTGTTACCACCAATAGAAAATAAAAGAAAAATGCGTACATGGCTGTAACATTCAGAAAGAGTCCACCCCAGTGCCAACATCTGGGAGTCACTTGGTGCTGTTGGCCTGCTGGCGCCTGATGACTTTTGTCTTCCTTTCAGGCATCATCTAAGTGATTTTCACTGGTCAGAAAAGTTTGTCCTTTTTACTTCTTTTTCTTCAAAATTTAAAATCTCATTCTGATTCTGTAGTGGTAGTGCTTAAAAAACCACAGTGAGGGCCGGGGAGATGGCTCAGTAGAATAAGTGCTTCCCTGGCAAGCACAAGGGCCTGAGTTCAAACCCTGGTTCTGCCAAAAAAAACAGTGAACAAGAGAAGGCAAAAGAAGGAAGTAACCATCCCCTTCTGTGAGGTCCAGGCTCTCCTTTATCTGTTTCTTTCCTAAGCGCTTTATGCGTCATACTCTGACCATGTTATTAGCTATTTGTCAAGACCCCAGCTGGTGAAGAAATTGGGACTTAATTCTATTATTAGATGCTCGATGAAGTAGCCAGAATATATGAAGAAACTTGGGCTGGTAAACACAGTATTATCACATCTTACTAAAAAATAAAAAAGTTTATATTCCAGGCCAGGCATAGTGGTGAATGCCTGTAATCCCAGTGCTGAGGAGGCTGACAACAGAAGAATCACTACAAGTCTGAGCTGTGTAGTGAGAACCTGTACCAAATACATTAAATAAATAAGTAAATATCTAAGTTCATATTTCAATTTTATACCAGAATTATTTTTTTTTCAAAATCAAAACAAACTGAAAAGCCTGTATATAATCATGGGTTGGTTTTGTTGGCTTAACTAGCAAAATAATGCTTTATCTGAGTCATAAATATTTGGTACACTGAATTATTCTTGAGCCACTCAGTTATTACAAGGACGAATGGTATTTCATTGGAGTAAAGGTTGCACTGCTTGTGCCAAAGTTCATCAGTGTTTTGTTAACTGGCAAAACAATGGTTTTCCTCCTCCAGCTCTTCATTACTGACAGGAAAGTCCCTTAAGTCCTTTTGATTAGTTTATGTCTAGCATGCTGAGGAGCTTAAAACCAAGACTTCATGCTCCAGAACTGACTTCTTATTAGCTGACTGAGCCACACTGTTCAGGACCCATAATGCTGATTGTAAACTATGAAAAAATTTTAATTGCAATTTCTCTGAAAATCACAGAGAAAAAACTGCATCTGATGACAAATAATAGTATGGAGCCCAGCCTGGATTACATTCGTCTCAATATCAGTGCAATTGTAAAGCATAATTTTAAATATTTAAATGGAGTCCACTAAGGGCCAGCCAGAAGTTGTTACATTGCCCCACAATTACACTAGAATGTGCAGGAGAGTCATTTAAGGTTTTTGTTTTGTTGAATAGAGTAGATAGTTTCTCTTTTCTTTTCTGAAGTGATTCTGTTCTCTGAGTCTATAGCTATGTCTGCTCCTCAGAGAGACAAGCAGTTCTATCTACAAGAGGAGAGAAATGATATCGTTAGGTTAGACAGCTATGGCTATTCATACTGTTTTCTTAAAACTGACCAGATACCCACTGATACTCTTTGGGCTCTAAAACATGATGAGGGTTGCAGGGAGGGAAAGGGGAGCAAGCTTGACTCAGGGGTCTTGTTTCATAAGTTGCCTGAGGGTGCAGATCCCAGAGGAAGCAGGCAACTGACTGTGCCACCCTGAGTCTGCAGAAGTCTGGACTCCTCCTCCTCCTGTAGCTGCTCATCCATATGACTGAGTGCAAACATTTGCCAAGACTGTGATTCATTTGGTTTTGTTTGTTTTCAAAGCCATTATCTAGTTTGGGAGAAAATACTTTTGTTAGTCGTCAACATCAGTGAGTCTCTACAGTGAGCAGAGTGTAGAGTTGCAAGTTGCCTGTTGATTTAAAGCAAGCATGTGGCCTGTCTGAAGCACTTCTCTTTCAAATATAATCTCTCTGAGGACCACAGAAGACTGTTTTGTTTGCTGCTACCAATTTTAGGAAAAGCCGAAAGTATGAATAAAAGAAACTGAAATGTTTCCTGGAAGAACGAATTTCTCCCTTTAGAAAATTTAGGTTGAAATGCCCCGACACGTGCTCTGCATGTGTGAGCTTTGCTCTCTAATGGTGAGTGTCCTGGCCTGTGTGCAAAAATGGGTATCAGACCTCAGTGGAAAGCTGCAGCCTACACCACTTACGTACAAGCTGCGGATGAGAGCGGTCCTGGCTGCACAGTAAGTCAGCTGATGCGCAGAGACCGAAAAGACAGTAGGTGAGACTTACACTAAGCAGAGTACGCAAGAAAAAACTAGAGATCAGCGCCCCTATTTGCAGCTATTAAAACTCTAGGATCACGGTTGTACTAGAGAAAAAGAAAGAAAAAGTCAATGGACCTTAATTAGTATAACTAGTTAGGAGTCCTAACTTACAGAACTGCCCCAAAACCTCCATACTGGGACTTGAACCCAGTGCTTTTGCACTGAGCCACATCCACACCCTTTTTAAACGTTTATTTGGGCCAAGAAGATAGCTCAGTAGAATAAGCACTTGCCTGGCAAGCACTAGGTACTGAGTTCAATCCCCGGTACTGCTAAATAAATAAATACATTTATTATTTATTATTTATTTGATGAGAGGATCTTGCTAAATGCTCCAGGCTAGACTTGCCTACGTAATCCTCCTGCCTCAACTTCACAATGTGCTGTGATTTGCAGGCATACAGTGCTATGTCTGGCTCTGAAAGTTTTGAACCATCAGAGTTGGGAAGGCCTGTTTCTCATAGACTATCGGTCTGCTTACCTCAGAAGAATTAAAAATGCATGCTTTCTCTGTTAGACTTGCTCGCGCACAGTCAGCTATGAGACTATACATTTTTCAGGTATCACAAGAAACGCAGAGATAAATAATTTTTTGAAGAATACAATCGTCCTTGTGTTTTAGTCAATGCGCCTTTCCACCCATGATTCCCTGGACTCTTGTTCTTCAGTGGAAAGTGTTCAGGGCCAACCTGTTTAGAGTCCATGGTGCAAGACGCTGGTGCAATACCTGGCACTGCAGTATTGTGGGCATCCATCTGCGTCTCTACTCTTCTCTCTAGAATTTTCTGAGTGCCTCACACTATTGAGTCAAGTACCACAACACTGGAGAGCTTGTTAGAGAAGATGCCAAAGAAGCAACCAATTTCCTGCCCTGGGTTTTGCTGTTAGAGCCAAGCACGCTCTGTGACCTGAGCTGTGACCCTCCCAGAGGCCCGCTCTTCTCCAGCGCATGCTCACCCTCCGGAGTTTCTCCTGTCCCTCTCTGAGCTGCTTTCACTGCTCTTCCGCTTCAGCAGAATCATGCGTGGAGCCCACCTGAGCCAGTGGATGCCTTCACGGCACCCTGCAAGCAAAGCTGAAGGCTTTGGGGCAGTGGAATGTTGTGGCTTTTTACCCCTGAGGCTGAGGATGACGTGGTGAAGGGCTGCGCAGGAAAGAGTCAACAGGACACCACTCATCATGGGTCTCTCAGGTGACCTTGGTTCTGTGTCCCAGGGCCCTGCGGGTGCCTTGCCCAGAGCTGATAGATTTTTTGGAAGGCAGCTAATAGAAGAATGATTAGTGGTTACAGCATTAATGATTTACATTGTGAATAAGTAGCTTGCTGTATTGAGCTAGACGTTGCGAGTACTGCAGCCACGGGGTGGAATTCTTGGCAGTGTGCTGGCGCACAGGGACTTGAGCGCAGTGTGTCATCTATAAAAGGTCATGGAAATGCTTTCTTCCAGTTGCTGCCATTGCAGAAGCCCCTGATTGTCTCTTGACCTGGTGACACCATGAAAATGTTTTTTTTTTTTTCTGAAAATATATAAAGATTGAAAGTGTTACACAAACTAAATATAGTAGTCAAAAAAAAGACAGCACAGAACTGCATCATACAGGTTTGACTGCTCCTAGGCCTTGGGTGTCTCTTTCTCATGAAAAAATATCACCAAGAAGTTTGCACACCCTGCACTGAGTTAGAAATGAGACACACATTTTTGAGAGCCAGGGATAGTTTCTCACCATGGGACCTTCAGGCGTGGCTGATGAATAGCACAAGGGGTTTCTAGATACTCTTGGGAGAAAAAGGACTTCATTTTTGAAAAAATTTAGCATTGTTTATCCTGTTGAGTTTTGGGCTTCTAGTACTTGGATGAAGTATCGCTATTTTCTTGCTCGTTTCTCCTTTCTAGAATGGCAGCATCTGTCCCATGCCTGTCCCAACGTTGTTTTAGAAATACTGTTCATTATAAGTTATTTTTTTTAAAGTACTTGTTGGGGCTGGAACGTGTGGTTCAGTGGTTAGAATGCTTGCCTGTGAGGCTTGGGGTTTGATCCCCAGCACTGCAAAAACCAGGAACAAAAGAAGTCCTTGTTGTCTCATGAAGAGATGTCCTTCAAAACGAGGAATGAGCTCTGTGCCTGTCTTTGGCACTGCAAGCTAGGAATTTCAGTAACAGATCTCTGTGGGAGACAAGGAGGGGAAGAGGCTTTCATGGTTCGGTAACTCTGGAATTTAGACAAAATCAGTTCCTTTTCTACAGGGTCCTTTCTGTGCTTCCCTGAGCCACATGTCTTCAACAAAAAGGTGTTATAGGCCAGGTCTCCCTAGATTTATAAACACAGAATACCTCTGTCCATACCCCAACCTCCAGCACTGCCTTCTAGCTTTTCAATCTATTCCTGTGTTGTTCTGGGGAAAATAGTTTGTTAAAAAGCAGATTTCAGGTCAAGCATGGGATAAACAAGGGGCACAGGCACAGAACTGGGCCACAGGAAG